TGTATAGGACCGCGGTGGACGCGAGCGATCTGGACGGTATATGATCGCTGTTCACGGTCGTCCACCGTCGTGAACCGTAGTCTTCGTCGTCGTCGTTCGTCGTCGTCGTCGTCGTCGTCGTTGTCGTCGTCGTCGTCGTCGTCGTCGTCGTCGTCGTCGTCGTCGTCGTCGTCGTCGTCGTCGTCGTCGTCGTCGTCGTCGTCGTTGTCGTTGTCGTTGTCGTTGTCGTCGTCGTCGTCGTCGTCGTCGTCGTCATCATCTAGCAGCTGAAAAATGTTGGACGAAATAGAAATCCGTTTTCGATGCTGGCGGCTTCGCGCTACCACAAGGCCCTGCTTCTTGTGGCGCCCAGCAAAGAGGAGCTCCCATCGAGCTCTGGTTTTTCATCATGATGATGACAATGATGATCGTCACCATCATCATCACCAGGCGGAGAATTCAGACTACAACGACAACAATAACAACGGCTGGTCCTGCTGTCGCTGTTGTTATTGCTTCTGCGGGCGGTGTTATTGCTATTTTAACGGCGCTCCCCATTCCTTCTTGTTCCCTAGGGCTATTTGATTCGACTTCTTGTTTCCTCTGATGCTTTTGATTTCTCCTGCTTTACATCATCACCATCATCGTCAAACGGCCGTTATCTTCAGCACCAGCGACAACATCAGTATCATCACGAGGGAAAAAATTGCTTCTATTTCTTCCACCTTGTAGATTTATTGCTGTATCGTTTCTTCCGTATTTTTTGTTGTGTTTCTTTTTGTTTTTTAAATAAATTTCGTTCTTCTTCAAGTACCTTTATTTTTTTTGCCTTTATTATTTTACTACTACTACTACTACTACTATAATTTTGCTCTGAACTTTTACTGCTGAATTTACGCACGTATATTGACGTACACGAACGATTCAGATATTTCGCATTAGCGGCTGCCGTGCTGAAGTCGAATGAAGACAGAAAAGGTAGCGCGCAAAAAATGTGACAGGATAACAGACAACTGAAAAAGGTCGTCGGAACTGGGAGAAAATCCAAGGAAAAGGAGAGACGGGCCGCCAGGGGGGACCAATGTCGGATAGGTGAATTCGGATGTGTGAGAATATTAAAAAAAAAAAAAAGAAGGCAAAAACGATACGAAATATAGAAAGGTTTTCACAATACAAATGTACAGCTGTACATATTGGACTCTGTGATGGGCCTATATTCTCCGGGCATCCAACGTCGATTTTCGCTTCAGTATCGTATAGAATAGAACTAGATAGAGCGTCTTCCAAATGAAAGCGTGTATCGGTCAAACCACTGTGCATCTCATCTTAATCTCCTTTTTTTTTTTGGTTTATTTATCATTTTTATCTAGAGGAAATAATCGATCTCTATGGTCGTTGTCGATCGTATGAAGGAACGCAAACGCATTGTTTGGTGTATTCCGACGATAACATTTATTCCGTACGAACGGCGGTCGGTCATAAAGGATCTAATCAAAATACAGTGAAATGGTTCTTCTGGAAGGAAATCTATTTTTCTTCCATGGTATCCGCAGTCACCAAACCAGCCACAAACCATCATAATTGGCGAAATGCCATCGTACAAATTGGGACCTCTTCCTGGGGCTATCGACCGACATTTCTGGTGATTTCAAACGACCCTTCGATTCGAAATGGGCAAATGCTGAAGATTGCATTTTTTTCAATTCGGAGTCAGTTCGCCCTTAGGAAATGCTGATATTTCAATGGACCCAGTGTGATGTTGCCTAGAACGTTTATATGAAAGCGTACGCGGCATACAATAGGCTCATTTACTATGTGCACACATGAAACCTTTGCAATTTTGTCAATAAGTGATTCTTGTTTCAGTCAGGCGAAATGAAAGATCGAGACTGGCATGCTTGACGTTAATACAATAGTAGTCGCATTTAGGTATAGAAGAAGGGATTCCATCTAGCGGTTTACTCCAGCTACGACAAAGTGTGAGACAAGGGTTTGCGTTAGAGGGCAAACTACGACTCTCACCTGTGTTAGCGTTCGTAGGCTTGTTGAGATTGGTGGGTGGCGTTATTAGTAAACTGTTACTGCTGCTGCTGCTGCTTGAACTTCCGCCGGCGCTGGTAGGCCCAACGTTAGAGCTGCTACTAGTGCAGGTGATGCTTCCTCCCAAACTGGTTCCACAGGGGGCAGTGGCCCTGTGAACTGATTGCATCGATGGAGGTGTCATCAGTAGACACGAAGCTGTAGATGCAGTTGACCCGGATCCCATCTGGGAGCCTCCCAACATCGGTGGAAACATCTGCAATTTTTTATCAACCAAACACATATTCGGGTACTTTATTTGAGCCTAAGCATGGACGAGCTGCATATAGATGTCTATCTTGTCATAACACATCCGGGATCTATGACGCCAGTCGTATTGAATCACACCGTTTATGATTATCATCTATTATTGTTATTACTACTATTTATTAGAATCAGCCAGTAATGATGGACAATGGTAAACATATTAAGCGCATGGTTCGCTCGAACTTATGAATAGCATAGAAATAGTTCTCGTCGTTGACAAAGATGAATCGACCAGGTCCGGATAGGATAGAATGTAGCTATGAGATCATATTTAGAGAGACGCTAATTGTTTGTTAGCATCTGATCAGTGATTTGGCGCGATTTTCGACATCGGGCATTGCCGTTATCGTCATCATCACCACCACCACCACCACAACATGACCATCGTCGTGCTATTACGGTAATCATTAGGGGTTGTGCGACAACAACGCCACCGCCATTCGCACGAAAAACAACAATGGCGGCAGTAGCCTGAATGGCAGTAGCGATATCATTGCGTCAATGCTCCCCTACCACTACCAGAACTGTCGTCATTAAATGTTGTCAAAAGTTGTTGTTTTTGTTGTGACTAGTCGCTATTCTCCCGCTGGTTGTCATCGCGCGCGCTGACCGAACGGTCTCGGTCATCGAAGCCACGAACTGGTCAATAGTTACGCTGCCACAACCTCTGGTCAGGCCACCACCCGAAGAAAATAAACGAAAAGACCGAATAACATTATATAAACGATAAAAGCACACGCACACACGTTGTCAATAGACATCGAAGATATCATTGAACAAGTGTGTAGACAAAACTAAGTTGACGACACAATGGCGGCGGCGGCGGCGACGACGACGACGATGGCTACAACGACAACACCAACGACAACCTCAACGGCCACAGCTCTAACAAAGCCAACGGACAACAATAAAAGCAAATCAGCGAACGATGAAAATTTACATACGAAGAGAAACACGTTCATATATTTATATAGAATCAACAAAAATAAGCTGAATAAAACGAGGCTGGAAAATCAACGCTTTTTTGTCGACCCATTATATATATATATAATATGCGACAAGCGTAGGGCGCACATGCACCCAGAGCAACCTCGCAGTGCAGAAAGTGAGCCAGCTCTGGGAAGATGAAACAGGGAGCGGCGGCGGCGGCGACGACGACGACGCCCAAACGCTGCTTCTCCGTGTGCTTCTGCTCGTCGTAGTAATAATAGTTTGTTTCGTCAAGTGACAGAAGGATGGAATAGGAGAACAGAATTGCCAGCCATAGAACGAGCGGACGATCTGCTTGACCTCCTGCTTCTGCTGCCAGGTGAGAACGTTACGGCGTCGAACGATTGGCCACAAACAAGGCATGCGCATTCTCGAACTCTACTATATGTCGCAGTTGATTTGTTTTGGTAGCAACATCTATTCAACAGCTACTTGCTAGGCCTATTAAAGTGATATTAGATGAAGTGTTATACTTTAACAATAAGTAAACTCAACAGCTTGACGTCAATAACGTCGATTTTTTTTTATGGAGGGCAGGACGTCTCTCACTTCACGTAACTCTTGGATACTGTTAGTGTCAAACTAAAATTCGTCACAGAAAAACAAATCTTGAACCGAATCGGCGCTCCGTATTCCATCATTTTGAGCTCGCTTAACGTTACGCAGACAAACAGGCCATCGGTACTAGACGCGAGAATTTCAGGACTGCGACTTGACTGATGTGGATTACAAGTGTTCGTTTCTTCTCTTTTTGCTCCGATCGATCCTCAAAGCCCAACGCTTCGTTCTGTTTGTTGCCTGCTCGTTGAATGTCTGACTGGTTTTAATCGAAAAGTAACTGCTAGGAAGAGAATAATGAACACTGCGTTGAGAGACCCAGGAGAGATTATTGGCTTTTACGGTATGATAAATTGCTTAGCCGAATCAACTCAATTGCCTCCCGTAAACAACAGTTCCGACTTTAGCAGCGTTCTAAACTGAACAACAACTACAGGTATGGCCACTTCACTGATACAACGATACGGTCAATGAACGATAGTAGTTTGAAGATGTCCAATGGTTTACCGCTATCCAAATTGAAAAAAGGCGCCCAGCTTCGCAGCAGACGATCTTGTGGGCTGTCCAAACATCATACACAGTAGAAGATGTTTCGTATATCGAAACTGACCACATAGAATAACTCATAGAGCATTTAGGTGCGGTTAACGTTGTGAGTGGAGCGGTCCCCATGTTTTTCTAGCCAGTATAGAGTCACGTAATAATCTAGGTTCGAAGCTGGGTGAGGGCACAGTTTCGTTCAGCGCTAGAAGCTGACTGGCCGCCTTATGGCCGTAATGCTGAACGTCAATACCAGACGTGAAACTCGACAAATCCATACTTAAGTGTGGTTCACAGAAAATAATCGCTTATGATTATATAAATATTATACATATATAATCATCTTAACATTTTCTGCGTTCGTCTTACATATAGTGTTGTATAATTTAATATAATTTTTTGTTATGGAATTAGTTATTGCAATGTTCCTAGTGGTCAAAACCAAAGGGTTATTCTACCAAAATCAATGAAAATTTTGACAAATTCTATGATGAAACAGTACCTTTCGAAGGCTCAGGATAGCGCAAGAACATAATCGTACAATCCATTGCTCTTTGCGTCGAAGCGACCAACTGTATCTGAAAATACGACTGCTCTCTGAGCTAGGCAAACATGTATTTTTCCCCATTTCTGTTAGTGTTTCCTTAGCCTTTGCCATGTCGTCGAGCGTTAAAAATAGACGTTCCTAGTGCCAACACGATGTTTTTGAGTCCTCTTCTTCACGTAAAGATATCCTTACATATTTAAACTGTTAACCCAGTCTCTCAGCATAGGTATTTCTTGTATTCGGTCGCCCTTGGCGATCAGTCTTTTTTGTAACTGAGTTTACTGTTTGATAGTCGAACGCGCAGGTAGTTGTTGTGTCAGTGTGTTTCGTCGCAGGTCATACCGACGGTCTATAACACAACCTATCTATATATATAATGCGTATAACGTATATCCCAGTATCAAGGTTGCTCGTTCGCTGTATCCAACTTCTCTGTCCCGCGAGTTTCCCCCCGTCTGTTTGCCTGGACGTACGACCGCTACTCGTTGATCGTAACATGCCTGTCTGGCTTTTGTGCTTCAACGATTCTATTTATATTTTCCATGAGTGTGGACGCGGCCGGCGCCGTTTCCTATCAAGTGACAGAATAGTTTTCACCCGAATTTCGAGCTTCATTAGTGACTGTCTCAAGTAATAGATGTAGGGCCCTATCGTTGTCGCGTGGCTAGAGAGAGCTTACGCGACCGCGCTCGAACCAGAAGCCACTGCTGCTGCTGCAGCTGCGGCAGCATTGACTCCTACGTCGTTTCTCTTCGGCGGGCAGCAGAATAGCCGCAGGCTTTAGCGGCAGCTTTTTCTTGTTTGCCTGCTAGAACAGGCCAAATTCTATACTGCGGGCCACATCACCTTGCCAACTCTTCGATGATTGTCTCTACGGTCTGTGCCGTAAAGATTGCTGGTGAGTCTACTTCACAGGCCATCACTACCATAACAACAGCAGCTACGATTTCTACTATGCTATTGCTACGGGTAGCAGAACTATGAATGTCGATAGCGCGTAGGACTTACCAGTTTGGCAGGTGGCGGCAATTGTCAGGGTCTGTCAACTTGACACAAGCCCCGAAAAAACCGTCAGCAAGTCGCAGTCGTTGTTATATCCGTTCTCCGGAGGTGGTCACCAACGGAACCGGTCGGTTCGAACTCAACTAAAACATGTAGATGCCCCTATTTTTGTCTGTTGAGTCATAAGATGACATTAAAATCATCAAACAGATGAGGGCCAAACATAAGATGAAAATGCAGACGACACTTGTTTGTTCGATAGCTGGCCTTTTCACGTGAGAGGCAAAAACATTGGGGATACACTACGGACCGGGTTTAGATACATGGGGACATACGCAGTGGCAGTTGCAATCGTACGATCAGAACTGCCAATAGAATACACCACTTGAGCAGTCTGGCCAGAGATGGCTTTAAACGATGTTTGATTTACGATATTCAATCTACCGGGTTCATTTCGACCTCTAGCCAATGCCGGATAGGTGGTAGGCAGAACCCATCAGGGTAACAGTATGAAAACCGTAGTCTCTCTTATTTCACCTCTGCTGCCTTCTATTAAACCTAACTGAACGAGAAAAAACTGCACCAGTGTCCTTTGGAACGAATCGTTTCTACAAACACAGGGATCGGCGACTCGAAAGACAAGTTTGTGCGTATTGTGTCTTCCAGGATCAGGCAGGCGCATAGTAACTGAGGTTGGCACAGAGACGGAAGCAACTTTTCGGCCTGTTCTTGTCCGATTTATAAAGTACAGGCAACATATAGACAATGTCGATTCCTGTGACAATCTTTTCCTACTTGTTCAACGCCGCACGAAAGCCTGCTTCTTTGTTTTGTTACGCCGTTTCGCCATTGAGTTGTTATTCTTTGCTTCACCCCTTCTAGTTCGCTGAAAGTCTTCGTACGCGCAGAGTGAGTTGACGTGAGAGCTCAACAAACAATTGTGTCTCATCGCCCGCCTGCTTCATTCTAGCCGATAATACTTAATATAATCTATATATTCTTATACCGATATGAATATGCTGGCTAACAGCTAATTGAGCCATTCAATGTGCCCTGCCAGATCAACGCGGACATCTAAACAAACGCGGTAGGTATTAAGGAACGTCAACCACAGTGGCGATGCCGGTAGAGATGCGGCGTATTGTTGTTAAGTTACTACGAATTTATTCGACCGTCAGATTCTTTGTCGTTCTCTGTTTTTCTACTTTTTGTTTGTTAATATAATAATAACAACGATAACGACAATATGTCTAAGATATGAAATCTAGTCTATCCTTTATGATATCGTTCATGCTGCCTATCCATGCTATGTG